CACTCACAAGGAATAAAACGCAAACTTGTCAAAGTTTCCGCTGACATTTGATGTCAAAAATCAGGATTGCCATCTGAAGGACTTTTATCACCGCCTACTCTAATTTATTTATTTTTTGATCGCACGGTATTTCGCAGATAAGGGCCCACATCATCTTCGTTTCCACGGAAACATAAGTAAATCCAAAACTCATGATTAATTCAATTATCAGACAATACGAAAAAACACTCAGTTATCGTCACTACCCTCCTATTCTCATCCTGTCATAAAAAAAGAATTAATTACTCAATGCTAGTCCCTCAAAAACTACCGGAGACGGTCAAATGTCACATTCTTCAAGAAATTTGGACAGAGCGTCTAAAGTTACGCTCTGTGAGGCAGCAAGCGAATAAATTTCAGAGGTAATCATAACTTGTATCAACGCAACAGGTTCATTGTTGAACTAATTTATGGTTTATATGTAACGCCACTATTAATGGCCAACATTCAGAAATTTATAGTCATATTATACGGAACCAAAAACCAGAAAACAACTCGCCTAGCCTTTTATCCTACACTTTCATTAAAAAGGTTGGAAGAAGTTGTGTTTCAGATTTCAATACGGTAATCATTTTGAGATTTTAATTAATTGTCTCCACATTACTCATTTGTTTACTAGACATTTCCTTTTAACCTTATACATCATTTGTGGTTTCTGGGTGGTCGAATTAATTGTAACAGATGTCCGATTTGATGAGTTGAAGATATAGGATCAAATATAAAGTGATAAGAAATTTGTTGTAGACCCYAAGTCAACTCAAGTCAATTGGTGAAGAAGCCAAAAAAATRACAATACATGTATCCAATTACCGATTTCTTCAATTAAAAACCAAGCCCAGAACTATTTGGCTAAATGCCCTTTACGATGTAAAATAAATGTAACAATTGTTCTTTCATAATGCTGATAAGATAAACAATATTATATTTGACATCCTCTTATATTCTTCTCATAAATGCAAACATGTCAATCTATATGRATAGATAATGAAATTTGAATATTTAAAGTGAAAACAAGAACGGATATTATTAAGTAAACAAACAAAAACTTATAATGGAAACTCCACCAATTTACTCATACAATTTAAGAAACAAATAACAAATTTTAAAAAAATTCATAGAAGGGGGACAGACAGTATTACATACTTTACTACCGTCATTTGTTTTTTCCTGTCAAAGAACACATTTTATGTTATTAAAATTCAAGCAGATTTCCGTAGTTTTGAATTCCAGAATCAGTTATTCATTCCATTCCTTGCAAAAATACAAAATTTCTTTAAAAAATTCCAACAAATTTGCATCTTCAGTTCACGTCTGAAGCGGCCCCACCTTAAAATACCAATAAAATCGCGTTTCATTCTCCAATATTTCTGTAATTCCACAGTAAACAGATTTCAACATCTGTTCTTATTAGCAGTGGGCGTATGTTGCTCAGGAAGTCGCGTCAATACTCTCTAATTACTTATTAATACCTTTTATATCATCGGTTTTACAATTTTTTACTACACCGCCACCAAGACTTATTTTTTCAAACCCCAAAAAGAAGATAGTTTGGGTGAAAATTTAATTTTTGGATTTTTTGTCAATGAAATTGTTTTTAAATGAACAATTTAATATACACAAATTTTTGAGTTTACACTGGGGCTCTCACCCCTTCAAAGACATTCCTTCAACATTTCCAACCCAGAGCAAAAAGTAAATAACGCCACGCCATGACACGAATGTAAACCATCCGACCTAAAAATAAATCGAATTCTAAGAGGGTCATAAATTAAATCGAATTTATTAAAAAGGTAATAAAAGTTCCAACCAGCGCCCGATGAAATAAGGAAACTAATTTACAAATTGTTGTAAAATTCCTGTCACCTTCCAATTATATKTTTAATTAAACACARCGTCAACGAATTCTATTCATTAAATTGCATACCCACACACGAATTCCTCGAATGYCGGGAACACTATACTATGCCTAAATACTTTGTTCACCGTTCCCTGTTTCTTCGAATTCAATTTGSCATCAGAAAGTTATGTCGGGAGTCTGCGWCGGTACCTGCGGTACCACTTGTTGGGGTTGAAGCACCTGACCCGGTCTTGACGAGTCATGTTGGACAATGACCTCAAGAATGCGGCTGCTGTTATTCGAGGGACCCAAACCCCAATCTGCCTGGTCTGAGCACCCCCGACGCATGATGTTGGGAAGGAAGGGCTGGTTTATGGCCYCGTTCGAATCGAATATGGACATTCTTCGGTTTATTTATATAAAATTTATATTTGGACGGGCCGTGATGGAGAATTATTATCATTCCATCACATGATGGAGCTCAGGTTTCAAGACTGGAGGCATTCAGAGACGTTTATTTTCGAATTTTGGGAGGTGAACTATGCAACGTTGTAGTTTATAACGGAAAGAAAAAATACAAGTTTCTCCTGGATGCAGTTTACTAAACGAAACCAAAACTCGTAATTGTTTACACAGTGTGTTCAAAAATGTCTCTGAGTCAAGTAGTGAGCTATCGAATTTCAATTTGATTCGATACCAAACAAAAAATAATGTGATGTTTAAATTTTCACAACAAAAATCTAAATAAAACCTATTTTTTATTCCGAGCAAAGAATAGTGTGAATAAGAAGACAAATTTTAAAATAAAATGATATATCCAATAGTTTATAGAAACATTTTCGCAAAAATGGCGTCAAATCTTAAAAAAAATTAATGTTGCGATTATAGTAATTTCACCCAACAGATAAAGTAACACAATTTCAAGGTGAGAGACCAACTGTGCAGAATGTTCTGGGCGAAGTCTGTTTTATATTGTAGAATGAATGAAATTTAAAATTTAAAGCAGTCAACCGACCAAAACACAAGTAAAACCGCCAATGTGATGAGATTTAAACACCAGAAAAAAATTATTATAAGTCCAAAATCAAATCAAATCTTCCTACTGAATCAGAATAATAAAATTATTAATAAAATATGAAGCAAAAAATGTGTTTCCTTTGACGTAATTTTGACGCAATTTTGACATAAAATCAAAGATTTTTTTTCCTCTTGTGAACTCAATCCGGAGACATACTGTATATTATTAACAACAAAGGTTTGTTTTCTGTTTTTACATACGAACGTTTTAAATTTAATACCGCCCAGGCGGAGTCTAGTAGTTTCTAAATATGTATCACTGTAATACCTACAAACTTTTGCTCAATTTAAAAATTACCAATAAGGGACCGTTATTCAAACAGAGCGGTTTATGTGGGCGTGTTATTATTTTATCCGCTGGACGAAGCGAGTATAGAGCCTAAGACAAATTAAAACCTATTAAAATTTATGACAAAATTGAAACTGTCAAAAAAAAAAACAGTGATTTATAAATTTGAATTCTGGACATCAATTTTAACATAAAATATAYTTACATCTTTGAAATCTGTTGAATTTGTAACATAAAAAAATAAAGCTCATTTCCGAGAAGAAAACTCTACATTTGCATTTTCTAAACAGATGGCAAGATAATATGTAACCATTTGTGGTACTTTTATTGCGAGATGATTTATTTAAATGTAAACAGATGCTAATAAACCTCGGGTTTTGCAAACATGTAAAAAACGTTACATTTTAGGAATATGTGTAAGACAATAAGATAAAAAATAAGAAACAGCAAAAGTATGTGTGATTCACATCCAATAAACCCAGAAGGATTTTGTTCCACATAGTGATCACGTCAATAATATTTAATAACCAAAAAAAAATATTTCAAAATATGGTAAAACCGTAAGAAATACAGGGTACCCAGAACTCGCGTCCCAGAGAAAAATTTCAAGTAAGATAAGATACCAGGAATATGAAAAAAATCTTTAAAATATTTTAACATTTATTTTTTGACATTTGACATTGTTTTATGTTTATTTAATGATACTCTGATGATTTTGTATAGGTTTTTTCTTACAATTATTTGATAAAGGTACAAAAATTTTGCCAATAAGGGCCACAACTAACATTGAACAAAGTTACAACTTAGAATACAGCGTCATGGTTTACGCTTCTAATAGCCTGTAGCAAAAAAACTTGGAAAATTATTTTTCATACCTTCAAAATTTTTATAGATAGAATTTTTTTAACATTTTTACATGTTCCTGGTATCTTAATTATATGGCATTTATCTCTGGAGCGCGAGTTTTGTCGCACCCTGTATGTATTAAACTCTGACAAATAACAAGACAATTAGTTCTGTTCCCAATCACAGAATAAAGAAAAAATTTCAATGTTTACAACCAAGACAAATGTCTGAAGCATCTCAATCCAAGTCTTTATATTCAACCTTGCTATTAATGGAAACTTTATTACCAGCAAACTTTCATTGGCTCTATTTTTAAACGTACACAAATCTCTTTTATCTTAGCTCGCATCGTGATAATCGATCTACGGCCCGAAATTTCTCCGAGATTTTTTTTTATAAATTCAGACAAATACGCTTTTGATGAACCCCTAGCCTCTCGGTCACAGTTCGGAGGTTGGCAGTTCAATACCCGTCCACATGTTTGTGTATCAACATCACGGAATTAATTGGTGCAGCTATGCCGCGCATATGGTCCAGATGTACCCAAAGCTCGCCCTGTTTAAAAACTCTCAAACAATCCAAAATCCACCCTCTCCCAGTCCGTCTAAAAGCACTTGCAAAGCCGCAAATGGAAACGCCATTAGTTGAGAGACAAAAGCGTGAATGACGTCATTTTGAAAAATGTCGGGAACGTGCAAGACGCAAGACGTCTGGTGCTGGAGATCACGCATTCATGCGCTCATTATTCCCGACATGTCTGTGAGAAACAATGGGAAGGTCATCGTCGATAGAGGAGCTCCGAGAGAGCAGGAAAAGGGGACAGTGGAGTGGTTGCTAATAAGGCCGTCGACGAGGAACGTGCGGCGACACTCGGGCACGAAAGATAATTCTTTTTCGAAAAACTTCACTTACCATTGACACGGGTATGGGGCCAGCCGCTCCGTTGGCGTAGCTGTAGGGGGACACCAAATATCCCATGTTGAACGAAGAGGTGTGGGGCACGGGCTCCACCTTGCCTGTAACAAACCCCCAATTAAAAATCTAGAATTTTTTCAAGCAAAACTCGACAAATAAGCACCAGATGACAGGATATATGCCTGTCACATTTTCCGCCACGGGAAAAATTTACGGCTCTGATGGCAACGACTAGAAAATCTGAAACCCAAGCTGAAGCCATTGTGTGGAGTTAGATGTTGAAGAGTTGGTCAGTCGGTCCCAGCAGAGACGAGTTGAAGGTCGTAAGCGAGTTCACAAACCGAGCTATGAATGGCTGAATTATCGGCCGTTGAGAATTTTTCCTACTTTTGCTTCCAGGTAATTGGAGTAAACCTCCAGGTATGACATAACATGACACTTGAAGATTACGATGATAACCATCATTTAAATTCAAGCCATGGTTTAGCAGGCCATTTTTCCTGTTTATTGAGATGCTGGATTGGGCTATGCAAACAGCACTCTTTGGGGTCAATGTTTTTCCAAAAACGGGACACGTCTTCGATTACCTCTCGCACTGTTATTATCTTGTTCAACGCCTCATTTACCCAAAATAAGCCACACTTTTCGACAGTATTGTTATTACATTCTCGAACGTGACTCGAAATATTGGCGCCCAAGATACGGCTTTGTCGCCCAACCCCATATTACTAGTGCGTGACTAGGAAAGCGGCCACAATTCAGCCAATTTATCGATGCTAAAGGATTAGTAGAGTCAATATGATAGAATGTTGAACACGGCTCGTATTACAGGCCTGCCAACCAGAAGATATTTCATATCCTAATAAATATTTACGTCTGCTGTTTGCACAAGAGCCCAAAACGGCTTGTATATGCCAAAAATAAAAAGGCAGAGGTGTGCATCATTTACATACATTACAGAACAGAACATTCTTCGTGGCGTTGTTGGAATTCTRCTTTGTACAGAAAGCTCCATCAAAGTGCCACTTGTGACGTGTCAGTGCCTTATTAACGACTCAACAATAAGAGAAGAAAACTCTACTTACCGAAGACGGGACTGTGGTCCGCTCGGGAGACATTTTTATTGGAAGAGTAACTGCCACCAGACTTTTCCTATAAAGAAAAAAATTGTTTACTATGTGCAACATGTAACAAACACACACACACACACACACGTTTGTTTAACAAAAATATCGAAGTACAAACAAGCGATAAGAGGTACAACAGTTTGAAATCCGGTCAGATTACAGTTGTGATAAACGACGAGATTTGTGATTACGATCGACAGAGCCGCTARATTTGCTGTTTTTTAACAAAAACCGGAACTAACAAATTTCAATGAGGGTAAAAAATAAGTACAGCACTGAGATGTCTCCACCATGTACATGATTGATTGAAGTTTTTTACAGTAATTACTTCATGTTTTTTTATAAATTATGCATGGAAAGGTGGTAACTCTCTTTTCGATTTGGCTCGAAATTAATAGTGATGATTATAAAAATATTTAATCAATGTGCTACAACTCGACCTACTTAGCCAAGCAAATCAAGCTAAAATAAATCAAGGAATGAACTTAACTCTTCAATAACTGAAACTATTAATAAAATGAAGTAGAGTCTACATAAGAAAACAAAAATACTTTGTAGGAGGGTCTAATAACAAATAATTTCTAATTTTAGGCTTCGGGAGGAATCTTTAAATAAAATTATAGTGGATTTAGGATTTGTAAGAAATCAAAATATGCAATTCAAGATCAATGGCCTCAGACGTGTCTAATAAACAAGTCCCAAACCATAGGCGTTGGTTATGTGTTTCTTATTGTTATTTCATAATAAATAACAATATACCCACATATTTATTATTTCAAAACATAGAAGTCAAAGCCCAAATTCTAGGTTTAGATCGTATTTTTGATTATTGCTTAATTTAGAATCTTTTACAAAAAAAATGTTTTGGCATTTTCCAGCTCAGATCTTTGCAGATGTCACCATACTCCTACTGGCCATTCAAATTCCTTGCTTCATTCACAAGTCTGCAATAATTTCACCTATAAACATTTACCAAATTCCGAGAATTCGAAATGTTATATAATTACAAACTTTTTTCAATCTCAGTCAGTCAATTCAGAGTTCGAATTGTTTGCACTAAAGTTCTCCACAGGACCAATATTTCCTCGAAAAGGCAATAAATTCACCAATGGCGTCGTCTGCTCGCTATTGTGCCGGCAAAGAATAGTTTGGGTTGCATCCYAAGTTATTTGTCATGATCAAGTTGAAATTTGTATTTTTTTATTACCTGCGTTATATCTTAACTTCACACATTCTAAACTTTAAAGTAAATAAAATTAATTTTATATTGTTTGAAAGTGTAAATTGAATTTAGATGATTGTCGTGATAATAAAGCTAATTTCTGTATTATTTTCACTGAACGGAAAAGTTGGATAAATGACGTGAAATTTTATTATTGACGTAGAAATATAACATTTTCATTGTTATTATTTTATTTTAATGTTCAAACGTGCTAATGAAACACATAAAAGCAAATATGTAATATAGGTAACGGCTTTCAAACATGGACGTCTCAAAAAAGTGGAAATTAAAAACGGTCACGGACAATATTTGACAAAAACATTAATGCAAGTAATACGAAAAAAATACTTCATAAAAGTGTTAAAAAATCTGATATTTGATTATTAAATTAAATCAGCTGACTACATTAAGCAAAGTTCTAAACATATAAACATAAAATGCTCCATATGATTTTATGATTTTAAAATAAATATAATCTTCTGTAACAACAGTAAATAAAACTGATATCTTTATTATCAATTCAAACTTTTATGTTATGATTTTACACAGTTACGATTAATAATAAAATAGTATTAAAACCACTGTCAAAATACCACGTATGACCCGTATGACCATGTTATGATATTATTGAAAAAACATTACTTTTTACCAAATAAGTCGCTAAAGAAAGACCTAAAATGCTTATCTATGGAAAATGGTGCACCTTTTCATCACAGCTGTTTCTCTATTTACCCAACAGATCACGTTGATATCAAATAAATAAATGCCATTGATAACAAACATGTGTAAAATCTTTTGTCAACTCATCTAGGCAAATAATCAATAAAATTGCTCATGAAACACAAGCAATTTCCACCACTTCTCCGAAGATTGTATGCTCAATAAACTTGGCGACTTTCTTGAAAATCCTGTTAACATGTGTAATAGTCAATAACAATAAAAGTTATCCAATCTGTATCTATTGCAATTGCTTTTTATAGTAAAAAAATGAAGAATTTATGATCAAGAAACTCTCAGTGGTTAGATAAGACAGCTCATTTTCACTAAAACATTAATCCCAATCTTCCAAATTAATTTTTCTTGTTATGATTCAAATATTTATTTTTGCAGTAACATAAATAGATCATTGAGGTCTGTTAAAATATTGCACTTGGCATCTATCAAATATGATTTTCCAAACAGATTCAATTACAGAAAATTGAAACTAAAAAGAATATAATCTTAAAATTTCTATAGCCTTTCAACTTCATTAAAAGTTTGAGTAATTGAAATTACAATTTGTTTCTCGAAAAATCACACTTCCCCTCGCTGTAGCGGATTATGAATTGTCCAGTGGTCGCATTTCTCTACCTTGTGAAACTATGACACCAATCAAAATTGATAAAAATTTGAATTAACACCGTCACAAACTTCATTAAAACAAACATGTTTTTGCAGGAAGTTTGTATCGTTTTAACTTTGCTAAAACTTTCAGAAGTTTGCATATATTTTACAACTGAAATATTTCCAAAGTGGTTACAATCTAGAAAGAGAAATTATACCTACTATGGATGCTAACAAGTTACTGAAGAATCTAATTAATGCTCCTAAGTTTAGTTGAGGTAGTTTCTATTAGAAAAATTCGAGGGCTTATCAAAATTAGAGAATTCAACATAACTTTTTCATAATTTGGATTTAGACTTTTGAAACTCAAATTTTAAAATCACATTTTTTGTTCATTTTTGATACGTCTGTCTCCAAATTCCCTTTGCACATCATTTGTACGTTACGCCACTTACTATTCACCACAATTACGACATTATAGCTTTATTTTTTTCTTAATGACTAGTTCATTTTATATAAATACTATTGTGAGGTATTTTTTTTTTAATTTAACAGACGATTTGAAACAAAAACAAAAATTTTTGCACTCCTGGCGTTAATTTGAACATGCTTAAAATTTTTGTGATCTACTTCTACTAGAAGTACACTACTTTCTAAATTGCCCTCGTAGCCCTGTAAAGGCAAAAGAAGAATGATGACAATTTTGTTATAAGATTCCTGGAACATTTAGGTCAGAGACGAAATTTTGTGTCAATTGTTATAATTATTTATTATAATTTAGTAAACAATAATTTGTAGAAAATAAAAATACCTAGAGATGTTAACATTTTTAGGAAAAAACTCAACCTTTTTAAAAACATACAAACAAATGGTCTCCGTGTATGATAAATTTTTCAACACAAAAATTTTATATAATTTTTATAAAAATAAATTATGTATTACCAAATGCTCACAAAGTTAAGTTTACAAAAAATTTGAAAATATTTGTTAGTTGCATATACCTAGTGGATACTTGGACAATTAGACAGAGATGTAGAACATTTCGGTTAATTAACAAAAATTATTTATTCAAATTCCAAAATTCAATTATTTATAGTTACTGTGACTATGTATATTCTTACCACTTTAACAAAAATGCCAAAAAAATAATTTTTTAGAAACCTTATTTATAACAAGAATTGAAAGAATGTTTATAACAGATTTAAACCTTTAGATCGATTTATGTTACTTATTACAAGATAAGTGTATATTACTTATTATTATTAGTACAATTTCGTCAATATAAATTGAAGAAATACAAAAACTGAAGATTTTAATAATTCAATTTTATTTAAAATCTCAAAACACAAAACGTAATTTTGAAAAATTCAAATCCCTTTCTTTACATCCGACACATAATTTGAATGGTAGGTTATTACGCCATACTTTTATCGAGTTTTCCGTCTTGGAACTTCTGCTAAAAGGTATTTGCCGTCTAATTCTAATTTTGTCATATTAGCTTTCGATTTAATTATTACATGTTTACATTAACAATCACTTCCTGTGGTGATTATTGTGTACTAATTCCGCAAATTGCTWGTAATATCGATATTGGTTGATAATTTCTATTTAKTGCAATGAAGCATTTGCTCGGATGTCACCCACCACATCATATCTTGTAAATTAAATTTTTCTAAGACACTTTTGATTTTCGTAACGAAACATCACTCATAGCGTCACTCAACATTGAACTTGTACGAGGAAAAATAGGAAAACCAAACTTTCGTTTCGCACATATTTACAGCTCGCGTTATCTGCGACAATGCGTTTATCATTGATAACTAAAGTGGCAATTTTTCTAAAACATCCTCTCTCGGCCTAAGGCATCCAACAAAAAAGAAAATGCGGCGTTTGGTGTAAATCCCCGAGGTCGCGCTTTTGTTTATGGCGCATCGAGGGTAGTTGTGTCYGCTTCCGTCGCTCACCTCCGACTCGGTGAGGTCGATGAGACTGCTCTTCTCCTCGGTGAGGTTCTCAGAGGACCTCTTCTCGTCCTCCCCGTCGCCCTCGTCCTTAAACACCTTAACCTCATCGGTGCTGCCGAGATCATCGCCGCCACTGGACGAGACGTGTGGCATGGTTCACTCGCGGCCACGGCACAGCGGCATCACACAGCTCTCGCTCACTACATGGCACCACTATCTGCCGCACATGTCACCAGGTCCACACTCGCGGCACGTCACTGCTGGCTGTCACTGCGCTTCGTCGCGACGACGCACACGTGGTGCTGCTGCTGGCTTTGGTGCTCGACGTCGCCGACAGCAACCTCGACTTTGGCTGGGCACCGACTGACTCCTCTTGGGCAAGCGCCGGCTCTGGACGCCGTCCGCCAATCAGGGCCGTCCGGGGACCGCCGAGGCGGCTCGCAATAATGGCAGCCGCACGACTGCGCACGAGCCGCGCCGATCTCACTCCCGCGCACTGAGCAATCATTACATCCGTGATTAATTCTTCCACCAGACGTTTATTTTACTAATTTATGGTCCGTTGTTCCGAAGACTTCTTGGGGCTGACAAGGAGACGCCGGTGCCGTCGACACCTGACCACTGAAACCACCTTGACCTCCATTTCCACTCTAATTAACGGCTGTTAACGACCAACACTGCTGCCAACTGCCAACCCTGAGAGACCGGTTCTGTTTATCTTCCGACTAGATGATTTTTATTCTGCAATCATACCAATTTCTGCGGTTCACTGCGAGATAATGCCACACGAAACAAAGGGTGGGGTCGCTGATCCATACAAGATTTCATCCAAGGAAACTTCATCAAACGGCAATCTGCTCCAAGGGACAAGAAAAAAACACCACCAATTAACCAAATTTGTGTTTTCTATGCCACGACAATTCACTTATCAGTGAACAGAATGAAACTACTACAAAATTTACTCAAAGAGGATTTAAAAAAACCTTTAATAAATCTAGCTTCCAAAATTTAAAAACCCTTTAACATCACAATTTTGTAAAATAATTTAATCATGTAATGACACTTTATGGACTATAAAAACGCCTCAGGCAATAACTTCATTATACAGGGTGTTTGAGGATTGCGAGCAAATATTTTAACCACTAATAAGACTCGTCAAAAGAAACAACTTTTGTCGAAAGCACGTCATTTCTGAGTTAAAATTAAAAATAAATTGAGGCTGAAAACCCGTCCCCGCCTATGTCTTAATACCATGTTTACAATCATTCATAAGAAAAAACTTTGGAATGTAAACAGCGTAAAGACAAAAAAATTATCGCTACATTAGGGTAGATTGTTAGTGGGTCAATACTTGCTATTATAAAAAATTGCTCGAAATGTGGTCATTCGTTGGCAATGAACCTTCTTGTACTCTTCGGGCTAGGGAAGCTTGCGTTCGCACACACAGCCCTTCGAAGGTATAAATTTGAGCTGCATACACACGTATTTAAATCTGGTGACCGCGGTGGTCATTGGCGACCAATCCATCTCTACTTGTAAATACCGCATGTGTCGCCAAGAGCACGTCCTCCACCAGATCGGACAACACATTTTCCAAAAAATCCAGTTAAACGGCACTGGTTAAACGTTGAGGTAATATGTGGGGTCCAATTTGGTGATCTTCAATGATCGCTGCCCAAACATTTAGTGAAAATCGGTCTTGAAAGTGCGATGTCCGCACACTAGTTAATTTGGCGTTATATGTATAAAACTTTCACGGTGAACATTCAATGCAATTTATTTTCATTGATTTTTTACTTCCAACACACAAGGACAGACACACTGAACGGCTCGTGAAAATCATAGGGGGGAAATTGCAAAAATAAAATTTGGATACGGAATTTGTTTGGTCTTCAATTCGACTTTTCATAACAAATTCTCTTAGTGATTAAAATATTTGCTCGCAATCCACAAATACCCTGTACCTATTTAAAGATCACAATACTTTTTTCATCAAGGTTAAACAGTTTTTTCTTATCGGGCGTTTGCTTTTCCTTGATTTAATTTAATAAATAAAAATTTTATATTTTTTTTATACACTACTTTATTAATAGTTATCACTAACTATTGCCTAAAAACAATTGAAAGACAATTTTACGAGGAATCCAGAAATAATAAAATATACAGACAGGTGTTCCATTTAAAAAACTGAAATTCATGTCACTTCACTTCCTGAGCATCGATCCTAAAAAATAGATGACAATAAATTGTGCAACTTTGTTCCAAGAATTATTGTCGTATCTTTAAAAATAATGAAGTTATGGCTTGGGGCGTTTTTTATAATCCAGCGTCTATGTGGAGAACGATTTTTCCCTGAACTTGTTATTTCTGAAACATGTGTTTATTTAAAAATTTCACAATGCATTTCATAAATTTGGAAGTCTACAGTTTTGGTTTTCATCTAAAACTGAAAAACATTCTAAACACGTGGGTACTAAATGGATGCTAGGTAGTAAATGTTTGTGTTATCTTTATTATTATCGTGAAGAAAATATTGTTGGAGTCGAAGAACGATGTTTGTGGTCACATTGTTTCATATGGGTTATTAAAGAATACATAATTGTAAAACTAAGTATTGAATTAAAAAGGCGATTTTCAAGAAATAATGCAACCCACTAGTCATATTACTGATTAACTGAGACTCCYAGCTGTGATTATCCACTGTTCTGTCTTCTGTCCAAATTGGTACACTGACATTTCTTGTTTTTAAACACTTAAAAAAACTAAAATTTGTYGTAAAATAATACGATTTTTTTAGTAACTGCTCATATTTTTTTAATTAAAATTTGCTTCTTTCTGCCCATGAAGTACAAATATTATGCGAAAATTAGTAGTTCTAAATTTAATCAAAATTATTTAATTTACACAAAAATCTCTCAGATAATGGGTAGTATGAATAAAATGTAGCAAAAGCTTTTACTATAGTTTTGTCTCTTTCTTTCWCATWTAATCTAAATTATGACTATCTTTTAATATTACAAGTAGAAGCATATCTTTACTTTATTCATACGCCCATATTTTGTATTTGTGCTTTTTTTCAGTTTGCTACCCAATAACTAAATAAAAATCCCTAAAGCTCTAGTAATTTAATCATTCATTCATGTTGGTGACCTTGCAAGCTGTTAGAGCTGTTCCAACTTTACAATGCGCRGAAGCAGGTGTCCGAAAATAATGCTTTAGAAATGTAAATTGTGAAGAAAGTGGTAAATTGTTTCTTATTAATACTAATTTCATTACAATATAATAATAATAGGTCGTCGTTGGAGAATTAAACAATAAGGCAACCTTTTTTTCTACTCGTATAAGTCGATATATCACCATTTTTCGTATTTGCAATCGTTTAGAATTTAAAAAATGGGRAATCTAGAGAACAAACGTAAATGTAGCTTTAATAAAATTATCTCTATTTACAGCAAAATGTTATTGTGGTCAAAATTCATAAATAAATTTTATTCATTCAGTTGACAAGCACATGATGTCGATTAAATTTGTAATTATGCTAGTTACGAGTTGATATACATATGTTAATGTGTGTTAATTAGGTAGTAAAAATTAGGTACAAATGATTAAAAACAAATTAGTAGGTAATAATTGAATAAATTAATGCAACTGAAATTGAGACCCTGTCATTAAAATGGCATTTTTATTTCTTTTATTGTTCCTAAGGCAGACAAAAACAATTTTTAATTTTTCCAACATGTACCTTGTCATGAAGTAATTTGTCTACAAAAGCTTTCGAAAGTCTCCTAATCATGCGTCCATTCTTCACCTTGACCTCTCTTCCGCTCCCAATTATCGTCCGCCTCGTTAACACAGCACAGTGGTGCCAACCCTGAATACCTGTTTATCTTCTTTTAACGTATCATCCGAATTTCTGCGGCTAAATCCTAGATAAGCCGCGACGAAACGTAGGGCGGGCTCATTCCTCACGTCAACATGTTTTTTTACCTCACTTTCACGCCAAGATTCATCAATTCCCACAACATTTTTTAATAAACAGACTTCTTACATTTTAATAATTGTAATAGAGATATTAACTAAAGAGTTGTTTTAATATCTTCTCATTACAATAATTGATAAACTAGTTTAGTTCGTGATGGAGGCTGGTTTTTCTCACCTGATAATTACTTAACCTAGAAAAAAAAAATTAACATTAACATTCAGAAAACTTATCTTGATTTATTTTTGATGCGCCAAATACTTATTTTGATAGAACAGTAGTGGATACTATAGCTTTTTTTATCACTAGAAATATTGGGAAAATAATTTTGTTGACTTATATCCAATAGAAAGTAAAAATGCCCTTCATGAAGATAAAATATTGAAAAATCACTTTGTTGTGGGTCCCAGGTAAAATCTTATGATTTATTATTATTTATGATTCGTTTCACGTGAAAAGCTTCTCGGCATGCCCCGTGCTTCCACAATGAAATAATTTACAATTCTTGATGTTGTGGATTTTTCTCAAGCCTTATTACCTGTTGGCCGCTTCTTTTTCGAATCAGTGGCGTGTAATTTGTTTTCTAAGATTGCTCACTTGACGAATTCCGCATCTGTTTACTGTCGGCATCATCGGTGACAATTACGCGCAAGTCACCGGATTAAGGGTGCAGTTATTGTTTGTCTAGGGTTGGATTTTGGTTCCGGGACCTGTTTGTAGTCAGGACCGGTCTTTATGTTCTTGGAATGCCCACCCCCATTTACACGCCATTATATGTTTGCATGGGGTGCCTTTCCCAAACAAATGATCCTAACAAAGAATTCTGTCTGCTGCTTCAAAGTAGGTAAAATAACTGTACAGTGAGGGGGTGGCGAAGACCAGCTTTATCTCTGGTGACTTCCTAAATAAATCGATTTTGGGTCGTATTTGCTTGGGATAAATACGTGTGTAATTAGATGGATCGCTAAATTTATATTTTGACGTTATCCTAACACTTAAATAAACACCTTATCTTATCGAAACGTAACTTTTTGAATAAGGGCTTTCAGTCACTAATCGCAGTGGCGCAGCGAGGAGGGAAAGTTTTGGAGGTTCAAATAAAACAACAAAACAAAATATATATATTAGAAACGAATAAATTATCCATTCGAATTTTGTATTCAGTTATTTTTGATGTTGTCATAACTTCAGAAGATTCACATTTTTTTTTTTTTTGTAAATTTAACAAAACTGTACTTCTACGTTTTAATGTTTTTATGCATAATTATGTAAAATGTTCCGAGAAATCGATTGTCATCGAGAAAAAACTGTATAGTGGAATTAATATTTTTGATATTTTTGACAGCAATTTTCTCGATAACTATTTAACCTAGAACAATTATCTTTCCTTTATATGATA